AGATGCTAACCACCGAGATGCTAACCACTGAGATGCTAACCACTGAGATGCCTGCAGCCCTGTCTAGAAAATGCCCAACAAACAAACAACAGAACAAAGGAATGCTTCCCTTTCTGTGAATTGTTCTGCATCCATCACAGTGACCTCATGGTGACAGAACCTGGTGGTTCTCAGAGTGTAACAAAAGCATTGATTTGCAGATGGACTCCGTTTCTGGCCTCAAATTCAGTTAACTCATTTTTAAACCAATAAAAAGATGCATTTTAAAAAGAGAACAGCAGAACTAACCTCAGGTTGTATGGAGCAGGTGACTGGTGGGTTTGACTGCGTTACTGAGAAACTCTCATTGTCACGCCGACAGCATCCACACTCCTGTCTGTGACGGGTTCACAGGTGTGCCACCTGTCTGCGTCGGTGTCCAAGTTCTCATCGGGTCTCATCTTATATCAAATTCATTATATCAAACCTCAGTGTGAATACAGCCCAGCATGTGGTAGTAAATGAGCAGAACGGAGGCAACGTGGAGCCCTGGAGCACGTGCACACACACACGTGCATACGTCCGAATCATCAACACACACCGACACACACTCTCAGTCTGAGTCTGTGAGTGATGAGAGACGTCTCGGTGGGAACTTGGTGGCCTGCGCTGTCTGTCGTGCCGCCCTCAGAGCTGTCAGTGAGGTTAATTTGGTGGCGTTTGTGATTAGCGAGCAGTGTACAGTTACTGCAGGCCTCTGACCAGCTCGGACTTGTAAAACGTCTGGACTTGACAATAACGTATGTCCTGTAGTCACTCGTAGCGTCGTCCTCATCGTCGCTCTGCTGCTAGAATCTCTCCAAAGCTGGTTAAACGAGAACAAGCCCTCCCACGTACAGACGGCTCGGTTCTGTGCTGCAGGTCCATTCCACACACACACAAACACTGGACATCGTTTCTAAAGGCTGGACGGAGCTGCCAGAAGAAACGCCTCAGCCTCAGCATCAACCTCAGCCTCAGCATCAACCTCAGCCTCAGCATCAACCTCAGCCTCAGCATCAACCTCAGCATCAACCTCAGCCTCTGCATCAGCCTCAACCTCAGCCTCAGCATCAACCTCAGCCTCTGCATCAGCTTCAGCCTCAGCTCAGCCTGAGCCTCAGCCTCAACCTCAACCTGAGCCTCTGCATCAGCCTCAACCTCAGCCTCTGCATCAGCATCAACCTCAGCCTCAACCTCAGCCTCTGCATCAGCTTCAGCCTCAGCTCAGCCTGAGCCTCAGCCTCAGCCTCTGCATCAGCTTCAGATTCAGTCTCAACCTCAGCCTCAGCATCAACCTCAGCCTCTGCATCAGCATCAACCTCAGCCTCTGCATCAGCCTCAACCTCAGCCTCTGCATCAACCTCAGCCTCAGCCTCAGCCTCAGCCTGAGCCTCTGCATCAACCTCAGCCTCAGCATCGTGGAGCTGCAGAGCATCAGTGGACTCTGCTGAGCTGCATCAGGCGAAGCAGACAGAACCAGTACACAGTGACACTACAGCTCAGTTCTAACAGCATTAAATCAACATGGATGTGTAATTCTGACCAGTGGACCGGATATTCTGGCCCGTCCAGGCGTCAGTGGAAGTGAAAAGTTAAAACATGTCATACATCCTGGACGGCTGTTTGCCTCTGAGCAGAGTCCGAGGACGGTGGACGGAGCTGGGACTGCAGCTTTGGTTCATTAAATACCATCAGTCAAATGTTCACTGTGGCTGATAAACACCAGCGATGCATAAACAGCAGAACCGGGCCCAAGTGGTTCACAGTGAACATGTAGAGACTGTGCTTCCTTCTTTGGCTGTTTTCTCCCCTGAACACTCATGAAGGATGAGATATTTCTACAACAACCCACCAGTGGCTCTGAGTAGGAACTAGAAGTTCAATCTGGCGTTGACTTGATATTTGACCTGATGGGACTCCCAGAAAGAGCAAACTGGGCCGGAACCTGCGGAGACAGACGTCATGTCTAAACATGACTGACAGCTGAATGCCAGGAGCAAAGCTGTCAGAATAAAACCTGCATACTTTGGGCCCTGGGGCCTATTCTTATCTGCACTTAGTGTTTGGTTTCACTCGGGCAGCAGCGATGCGTCCGTCCTGCTGGACCTGGACTCTGTGGTGTGAAGGAGCCTTTGGTCTGAGGCTGGATCAGCTGCCCTCTCAGCTTTTCACAATCCTGTGTTTTCTAACATTGACGCAGTCTTTGTGTCGGCGCTCCATTTAATTCCATTTCATAAGACTGCCGGCAGAAGAGCTGAGTCACCTTCGACGCTCCACTGAAGGCTGGAAAACCTCATCTCCTCCTCACTGGGTCGCTTCCCCTCTTCTATGCAAGTTCAGCCTTAAATGTAAAGAGCTGTACGGACATGGGCTGCAGAACCAGACCTGGGCCCGAGGACCAGCACTGGAACAGCAAGTTTTTTACAGACGAAACTTGTATTTAAACCGTGGTCCGAAAACGGTGCTGAAACCTGAAACACAGGAGCAAACACACGACCGGGTGAGCAGAGGCTCAGAGGCAGCTTCATGGTGGTGTGTCGGGGGCGGAGCCACTGGAGGCTCAGAGGCGTGATGAACAAACACCTGCACAGGTCGGTCCTTGTTCGGTGGCTTTGGCCCAATAAAACCAATTCATTTCAATGCAGCTTTTCTTTCTTCCTGTCGTTCGCTCAGCGTGCCGCCTGAAGCCCAACAACGCTGCTGCTGCTCGGACGTCCGCTGAGGGAACGGCGCTGCTCACACTCAACCGTCTGACCCGCAGACTGCATCACAAACTAACCCAGTTCTTCAAAACCGGTGCACTAGTGTCAGGATCCTGTCTTTGGTGCAACCTCAGCCCTCTGCCAGGTGAAACCAAAGAAATCCTTTGCAGGTACTGTGTTGACGGGGAACTAGACGCCGTTGCATAACGTGAGCGGTGTCGATGCTTCTGCTGCTCAGGTCGTGTCACTTGGATCAGAACACAACCTGTGAGTGTCATGAAACTCCACTCCAAAGGAACATTTGGACTTTTGAAGCATCCAGTCAGAAACTTCAACTGGAATGTCCCATGAAGGTGGAACCAGCGTGAAAAGCTGAGAAACTGCCTGAATGTTCTGTTCAGAGCTCGTGTGTCTGATGAAACCAGCTGCTCACTGACTGCTCTCTGCCTCCAGTCAAGGCTTTCCATGTGCTCCTCCGTCATGACATCCCATCTCTGACTGCTGATGGAAATGCAGCCAGTGGGGGTTGTGCTGCATTGTGGGTAATGTAGTCTCCAGGTTTTGATGTTCATATGTCAAACTTTGCACTGAGTCCATCCAGACGCATCATTTAGACGATCAGCCAGAGCATCAGACAGAGTCCAGGATCTGTTTCTGAACCCCATAAACACACTGCAAAAACAAACAACAGCCAAAATTATATAATATTTCATTAAAATCACTTCATATTACAACCAAGCACACTCACATTCACACTCAGGGTGAAGGCAGGTTCACCTGGACAGGTAACCAGTCTATCACAGGGCTACACTTAGAGACAGACAACCAAGCACACTCACATTCACACCTACGGACAATTTACAATCACCAATTAACCTCAGCATGTGTTTCTGGACTGTGGGAGGAAGCCGGAGAACCCGGAGAGAACCCACGCTGCACGGGGAGAACATGGAGACTCCACGCAGGAAGATCCCGGGTGTCCTCACCGGGATGCGAACCGGAGACCTTCTGGCTGTGAGGCCACGGTGCTAACCACTGAACCACCTGCAGTCCAATATCAAATCTAATGTGATATTTTATGAAACCAAACAAAGAATTTCCTCAAAGCAGAACGTGTAATAAAAGACAAAACAACGACTGGTTCTCTCCTCAACACGAGCATAAAGCTGCAGAGACCAGACAGGACACCAGACCTACACCTCTGTTCTTCTTGTGACAGCTGTGCATGTGGAGAAATGTTCTGCAGTTTCTCCAGTTCTGTGAAATGACTGATTAAAGAAATTCAACTTTGGTTTTTGGTTGTTTTTTTGGGGAGTGTTAATGCAGCCGTTTGTAACTGATGTGCTCCTGATGTGTGCTGTCTTGTTGCTCCGTCTGCCCTCCACCTCCCGTCGCTCTCCTTCTCCTCAGGGACAGACTCCTGAGAGCTTAGTCTGCTGTCAGGGGCCATATGGTCCATATGAGCTGCAGAGGGAGGGCAGCCGAGGCTCAAGGTGTCAGCAGGGAGGGTGGTTTAAATTTAACTGCACCAGGGCTGATATCTGCATGGCAGGTCCTGTCTCCCTCCCCTGCTCTCTCTCAGTCTGTTCACAGCCACAGCCTCAGACACCAGCACACAGCCTCAGACACCAGCACACAGCCTCAGACACCAGCTCACAGCCTCAGACACCAGCACACAGCAGCAGCAGCAGCAGCAGCAGCAGCAGCAGCAGCAGCAGCTCGTCTCTCCACCAGGAGACTCTTCTCTCATCACGCCACCTGGACTGTACACGAGGCCAGCTAAGGACGCAACGGGGAGAGAGAAGGGACAGCGACTGTTACGAAGGCAGAGCAGAGCAAACGACTCACACTGAGGATAAGCGTTGATCTGAGCCGGCAGGGCTGAAGGCTCAGCCAGCGGCACTGCAGAGGCACAACAGCACCGTGGGCTCTGCTGCGAGAGGCGAGACCGGAGCTGGGCTTGGACAGGGTGAGTGTGTGAGCCCAGATATACGTCTTTAGTTTGGAGTGTGTGACTGTGCATGTACAGCAGAATAAAAAACCCAAATCCAATCACTCTGCAGGGGAATGCTATTCTTTGATGTGTTTTCATGTCTAATCCATTTCACTGACAGCTTTTCAGTGTTATTTCGCTGTTCACTGAACTTCAGTGGATTTTCAGAAAAGTCCCTGAGCAAGTTGTAATCTGCGGCTTTTCTGCGCGGTTGCTGCTAATTGGACAGATAGAGGGCTTAGAGGGCTCTGGCTTCACAGCGAACACCTGCTGATCTCCATTTAATCTAATGGGATTGAATCTGCTCTAAATATGTTGAATTGATTTGGCAGAGAGACGAAGCATCGGCGTGATTACACTGAAACCTCTTGTGCTGCGCTCGGCTCTCTGTGTTTTCACTGCAGCTCTGAGCGGTGCTGCTGTTGTGTGGAGTAAACCAGCTGAATGTGCTGATGAGGGCAGAACAGGACACCACCCTGGCAGCGGCTGCGCCCCGTGGTCAGTTTGCCCACCACATCAAAGCAGATGGTGATAATTTATTCGCTTCCGTGCAGCGACACCGTCTTGAGTGGACGCTGGTTACGCGGCGGGGCGGTGTTGGTTGCAGCCGGGGAATTTCCAAAGGGCAGCACGTCCATGAGAACCGGCAGCACAGCCGTACAGTATGTGAGTGCAGGGAGGACGCTGAGGGAGGTCAGGTTACCGCCTGCTCTCAGATTGGAAACACACTCGGGGCAGCGGCGGACAGCAGTCACATGTCAGCAGGATGCAGCATCTTCACTCAGCTCAGTTAGAAGACGCTAATACTTTGTGCCAGAGTGCTGATCACACGCTCAGGCTGGATGTCCGTAGTGGTCCGCACCGCAAAGAGAGACGGTACCGATAACAGATCCTCACCAGCAACGAGCTGCAGGTTCTTCAGCTTCCTGTTCTCACAGCTCAGACGTGTGCTCTCTGTGCATGAATGAGAGATTTAGATTTTGGACAAAACATGAGAAGACGTCCCTGTGAGGATCGGTTAGCGAGCTGTAGAAACACAAAGCAGATCAACAGGTGCTGCAGATTCCTGTCGACTCTCACAAACCTCCTCCTGTGAGGAAACAGCGGGCTGACAGACGGACGGCCCCACGCTGCCTCCAGATGCAGCTTCGAACAGGCTTCAGCATGTGACGAGCAGCGACAGGCTAATCTGTTTAAGTAGGTATGATAGCGGGACGGAGAGCTGCTGCCTTCTGGTGCTGCTAATCCGCCGTAAGGCAACAAAGAGGTGACGTCCGGCAGACTGATCAGCAGGTTCAGGCTGCTTTAGGCTCATGTTGGATTCATTTATGCACAGAAATGTAGGAATCAGAGACTAGCCCACACAGTCCCAGTGTTTGGAACGCCTCGCTCTGATGTCTCCTGCTGACAGATCAGACAGAACCTTCTAAGTTCTATCTCATGTCTTCTGCTGATACCTGCGATGGGAGGTGCTGGGTCGCTGGTCTGTACCATTCTTGTTCTGTATCTCGAATGCCCAGTTCTTCAGCTTTGTTCAAATGCTCAGTCTGAGTCAACGATGACCTGACAGAGGTCAGAGGTCGAGGACAGGTCACACAAATGTCTGACAGGATGAGCTAACGAAGGGATGACATTTGTACCCAGAAGGTCGCTGTGAGATCAAGATGTTCTTCAAAAACACTTTTGTGAAACTAAAGTAAAAACTGTGAGCTTATTGTAGACGTCATCACATCCTGGGCTGCATTGTCATTTCAACCACATCCAGCTGTACAGCACACAGTGACATGAGACAGCGTTTCCCAGATCCAGAGCGAAGGCGGGAGTGCAGAGAAAGCAGCGCAACAAGGTCACATAAAATCAGACAAAAAATAGAAAAAGACAAAAATAGGAGGAAGAACAGAAATACAAACACGGAAAAGTAGTGCAACATAAAAAGGTCATTTAAACACGGCAAAGAAAACATTTAACACAACACGGACAGTACAACCCAATGGAGGTAGTGTGTGTGTGTGTGTGTGTGTGTGTGTGTGTGTGTGTGTGTGTTCGTCCAGTCCTTGAACAGTCTGATGAGGGATGAAGCTGTTGCACAGTCGGGCCGTGTGGGCCGCATGCTTCTGAACCTCCTGCTGGACGGCAGAGTGTGCAGAGTGTGTGTGAAGTGTGTGTGAGGTCCTAACAATGCTGGTGGCCTTTGGGGTGCAGCGTGTGCTGTAGATCATGGATGTTCAGCTCTGTTCAGCTGAACACGTGTGGAGCCTCCACATTTGAACCTGGAGCGTCTCTGCAGCAGCATCCACATCTGAAGCACTGTTTACTGCCAAGTACAGAGTAAAAGGTCAAGTCTGGACCACAGCCTGCCTGGAAGGACTGACCTGGAGCACCTGCTGGTCTGGGGACGAACACTCTGAAAGCCTAAACCTGGAGCTGGATGGAGTGGTGGGATAACCCAGGACTCGATGAAGAGCATTCAATCAGAGGGCAGCTACACCCTGAAGACACCCTCATACTGTCTGTCCTCCTCTGACTGAGACCGTGGTTCCCTCAGTGAAGCTGCACACGAGTACAACCGACTGGAAACAGGTTCACTGAGCTGCCAGACTAAAGCCAGTGGATGTCCTCATCGACGTCTACCCAGTCACATGTCCTGGTGCGTGAAGAGGAGTCGTCCCTGCTGGCAGGCTGAAGCCACTACCGCGTCGGCGTCACTTCTCAGACCCAAAGGCATCGTCCACCTTCTGTACCCAGCCTGTGCTGCTGGACAGACTGGGAGTAAACTGGAGGCTGATGGATAACCAGTGCATGCACACAGCTGCTGATCTCAAAGACCAACATAGATCAATATAAGCAAGAAGAACATTCATGACTGCATCAAACAGAATGTGATATTTTGAGCTCAAAATGTGCTCAGCTGTGCATCTTCAGCCACGGCTGCAGTGTTCTCGGCCCACAGAGCAGCGCTACCGGACCTTGGGTTGGTACCTGACAGCTGTTGAGGATTTCCAAATGGGATAGCAACTAAGATAAATACCATACAGCATCTTTATACACTCAGTCTGCCCCTCAGACCTCCAGATATCCTTCAAATGAAACAAACCAACAGCGTGTGAAACGTGTGAAGCCTCAACCTGCTGCAGTGGAGCCGGTGTAGACAGAACTTAGAACTATTCTGGCTTTAGCCACCTCGCTCCAAACTCCTCTGCTCTCAGGGTGATTGACAGTTTCAGGGTAGTGGGGCAAAGATCATTAAACGAGACACGCAGTGCTGCAAACCTCCTGGCACCCTGAGCTCCACCAGCTGGAGGCCGGATTAGAAGGCCCAGCTCAGAGCTCTGCTGAGGCGCTGGATTCATGAACGGGAGGAGACTGGTGGTGATTAAAACACAGATAAAACACGCTTTGGCCTCTGCTGCGGTTTCATCCTCTTGGCTTTGAACTGCCTTGATGCTTTTCAGATCACGGGCAAACTCTTGTTTTCTTCAGTCTGTAGAGTTCTGAGGGAACCAGTGCTGAAAGCAGATGGGCTCATCGTCCCATCAACTCCTGAAGCAACAGGACTCCCAGTCCACGTCTACCAGTGACTGTCATGCTGTCGGTAACGGTGTCAGTGGCTCCTCATAGCTACCAAAGGCCTTTGAGCAGGACGCTGACTCTCTAAACTGAAGAGGAAGTAGCGCCCCCTACAGGAATCAATAACTGAGTCGGACTACCGTTTGGATCAGGCTGTACGACACAAGGTCCAACGCCATCAGAACTCCTCAGCCATCTTCCCCTGAGCTGATTAGATCATCCAGGCGATGTGTGACCAGGCTAATGAAGTGAAGTGTCTTAGACACGAGCAGAAGGTGAAACAACAGCCGACCTGCACAAAGAAACAGAACCTCACATTTGAAAGAAGGATCATGTGTCAAAGGAGACTGAAGAAAGACAGCGCTGGTACCGTCTGACAAAGGAACCGTCACAGCGTCAGAAACAGCGCGAGGAGCAGTGCGATGCTTTAAGGAGGAGGCTGGGGTCGATGGACGGGTCAACGTAGCTCCAGACTCTGACGCTGGACGCTTCGCTTGTCTTCAACAACAACCACAATCTTTTGTAAGCGTCCTTCTGTTAGTCTCTGTGTCTAAATCAAACCAAGTAAATGACAAACTCTACATTTCCCTGTTTAGTCTGAAGACCTCGTCAGAATGGAGGTTGGTCATTAGTGGGGCGTTTAGTGTCGTTGGTAGAAGTACGGCTAATCTCAGGGTCAACACACCAACTTGTTGCAGACTGAGGCCTGAGCAGCCGGAGTGGGGTCGGCCGGTCCAAGAAGTGCCCGGACCCAGGGCCACATGGACATGGATCCAGTTTCTCTCACAGAATACCAACTGCTCAGAGCTCTGGGAAAAGAGAACTAAATATACCAGGAGCCAAACGCCAGCGCTGTCCAGCGTGAGTCTCTCTCTACCTCCCACAGCTTGACCTGCAGCCTCCTGCTGTCAGGCCGAGTCAAAATAAGTAATAATTGAAAGATGAGCTGGTGGCTGCTTTCGTAGAAGACGTTCCCCTGACGGCGAGTGAAGACATACAGACGTAAGCAGTTCAGAGACAGATGAAGGGATAACACCAGGCGTCCCTATCACCTGCTCCATTTATCTGGAAGTGTAGAAGAGGACGTGAACATCCTCCCTCTCTAAAGCAGCCTGTTTGGTGGTCTGATGAAACACACTGTGGATATGCGTTTGTTATCTTTCTGCTACTTCAGCACAGCCTTGCTCCCAGGTGCATCAGCACAGAAACAGCATCAATAATTCACGTCCGTATCTTTAAGCCTGCACCGGACCCAGCGGTCACAGTGTGATTTGCTGCAGCAGACACAGTCGCTGCTCATCTCTGTGGAAGTGTAGAAGTGAGTAATGCCGGCGCTGCATCAGTCCACCATGAAGCATTAGAGACGGATGAGTGGCTGTGCTGCATGAGAAGCCCTCAGCAGGGAGGAC